AGTGTGTGAGTTGCTCGTCATTGCCTCCAGTACACTGCTGCGACATATAAGACCTCGCCTGCCAGTCCGCAGTAACGTGAATATCTTGCCGTGAGTTATCGTTGTTGTGCTTACGGTTTCTGAGTTCGGCGCATCATTAATCATTGAACTCACATCGAGGAGCATGATAGATGGATTAGTTAGCAGTTCACAGCCGATGTTGGCTCTCTTCTTCTCGCCTCCGGATAGGCCGCCTTTCATGTACTCTCCTATTTCTGAAAGTTGCGGGTGAAGTGTGTTACAGCCTTTTCAACACAAATATGAAGGTTTCTTTTGTTATCACGAATAGCGATCATCAGCATGTATTTAATACTTAACCTTTATTAAGCTTTCATAATGAGGGCCTTATTCGTCACACAATTTGCTAAACACAAGACAAATGCACATGCAAAAAAATCCCTCTTTTTCCATCCAAATCTCTTACGCGACTCTTGCCATGTAAATGCAATCATCTGCTTGTCACCTGTTTTCAAGACCAATGCAATCATTCCATGAGACCATAGGTACGCTGCTAAAGGTTTTCTTCAACTAGATTTCATTCCAGCAGAGATAAGTGTACATCTGTCCGATATGTTCCGATGCTTACTCTGAATTGACCACCTGCACCCGCTCCGGTCTTCTGAGGAGGCCACTTGTACCCGCCCCTGTCCTCTGAGGAGGTCATTTGCACCCACCCGATCCTCTGAGCGGGCCACCTGTACCCGCCCCGTCCTCTGAGGTGGCCACCTGCACCCACCCGATCCTCTGAGAAGCCCGGGCGATCACCTCAGACCTCTGAGGAGGCCACAGGTACCCGCCCCGGTCCTTTGAGGAGGTCACTTGCACCATCCTGGGCCTCTGAGTGGGGCCATCTGCACCCGCCCCGTCCTCTGAGGAAGCCACCTGCATCCTCCCCGGTCCTCTGAGGTAGTGTGCTCCCAGCATCCCATGCGCCCTCGGTGGGGGCACGCGTGGGGGAGGGGATGAAAGGGGGAGGGGGCAGCGCCGGTACTCACGGGTGTGCTGACACTGGTCCAGCTCCAGACTGCTGATGATGTGGTCGACATGCCGCTCCCTCTCGACCCGGCTCAGTCGCTCAGGCAGCCGCAGCTGGGCCACGTACTGCTCGGCACACAGCAATACACGCACACCGCTCGCCTGGAGGCCAGGGCTCAAGGGCATGGAACACAGACAGAGCATTCCACTCAGAGTCTTTCTTTAAGGAATTTTGAGTGGGGGTGAATTTCTTTGATAGGGTCGATCCCAAATACGGATGTACCTAACGTACACCATTCTCGATTTCTTCTCGGCTGTTGGGCACTTAACCTGGGCCTGGATTCTGTTCTTCCAAAACTTAGTGTTTTTTTAGCATTCGATGACATACCCGTCACGGTTAAGTGCTTATGACAGGAATGAAGCGAGATAAATTTATAACTACATGAATAAATAGCCAATAAACGTCACTGACAGATAAAATTATCCATGGTCACGATATCTTCTCGCTCCGACCGACCATAAATCATATACAGCTACACATTCTATGTCGTGCTAATTTGCGTGGTGGTTACAAAAACATAAAATGTACTACAGTAGTATCATTTGAACGGATTAAAAGCTCTACAAAAGGTTTATTTCGAAATAGCTGCTCCCTGTGTAGAGCACAGAAGCGCGCTTTATTGTCTGCTATGGGTGGACCAGATTCAACTATTCAAGACCTTTGGATCACGATCAAAAGCAAGAAAGATCGGTAAAATCATCTTTAACTGCCGGTAACAGACGTCGAACAATGCCTGGATCAGCATAAAGAAATGTCGTTTGATCACTTTAACACTTTAATTTCCCACCTGCACTAATGGCTTCCTTATATTTTAACACACACTCGGCTGGGGGCTCAAATTGACCGCCAAGGTTTTTTTTAAAATGATTTCCGAAAGGCGTGGCGTAGCTGCGTCAAACTTAGCGTAGCTGTAGATAATTGGAGAGCGGATTGTTTCGTATTAAAAATTTAGATGTACCTTGTGAGGTCGCTGACCTATGGCAGGTCAAAGTTAGGCTATGGTTTCAGCGAAGTCAATTTCTGGCGTATCGTTCTATTTGATGCAACAACAGTGTGTTGGATGAAGCTATACATCTCTGAGACACTTTCTTAGGCAACACAACAATTAAATGAGCAGATTGAATTAACCTAGGGTCAGGTATAAACGTCAGACCAAGGTCAAAACCAATCTGTTTTATTACTCTAGACCTTGCCGCATGGGTAGTTTCTGGTGCTCATTTCAAACTTATTGATAACAGGAACCACATTCTACATCTTCCATAAACTTGTTTAAGTTCAGAATAGGTCTCTGGCCTAAGATTATCCAGGTTAACGTGCCTTTTTTAGAAATATACAGCCTAGCGTAATCTTTGTCGCTTATTCGAATGGGCATCTCAAAGCCGTCTTGTGTAATTTTGGTCACGATGACCTTCAAAAGGTCAAACAAGGTTACCAGTCTTAAATAAGCGTATGGACTTTTGTTAAGAACAATTATCTAGGTTCTGGGGCACTTTAAAGACCAACCAGGAATTTGACCTTGTTTGACCTTATTTGACCCAAATGTTATGACCTAGGAACCTCAAACTTTTACATAAGTGAGTTCACATGCAGGTCAACACACGCTATCAATTTTGTGTTTCTAGCCCCCTTAGTTCTTGAGATCCCAGTGGGTCAAATTGACCCCCACCCTAGCGAAGGGTATCCAGCCGGCCACCCGGGCGCGTGTTAAGTCAAATTACATGCAGTGCCTCTTATATTATAAGTTAGAGATGTCTGAAAGATTACACGCCGCTGTGTCGCCTGACCGCTAGCGACGGCCGTGGTGCGCGAAGTCATGACAGGCTCTCGCGATCGTTTGCTTTGGATCTCGCTACACGGCTCGTTATCAGGATTGCCGCAGCTGCGTCACATCGGTGTGCGGCGCGAGCGTTTCGTCTTGTATTACGCTTTGTTGCGTGATGCGTTGTTTTGGCTTGGTTTGATTCGGTAGAGCCCCTCCGACCAGACCCGATTGGCGCTCGGACGGGGCCCCTCCCGAGGGTACTTAAGCCCACTCATGGCTGGCACACGCAGCTTGCCCCGGATAAACGGGTAGTCGCGAGGATGCAGGATGAAACGTAATGAAATGAAATGAAATAAAATGAAACGCGTAAAAGGCGGCAGATGCTAGCTGCATGTTTTCTTGCCCTTTGTCTTCCTTCACCTTTGTTTGCCTTCCTCTGGTTACCTTCGGTTAACTACCGTGATAGCACGTACGCGGCTGATGTGAGTCAGCGCTCTGATAAACCCCAATCCAATCCGAAGCGGCCC